AATTTTTTCTAAAAATGAAATTTCACAATTTTCCTCTACTTAAATAAATTATTTTATTTAAAATAAAAGTATTAATTAATATTTAAAAAAATTAAACTTTAGTACCTCAAATTAAAAATTAAATCTACTGTTTTTTTTTTAACAATTCACAACCTTCAATTTTTTCTAAAAATGAAATTTCACAATTTTCCTTGTAAAGAGTCTTCTTACAACTTTTCCTATAACACCAAACACAAAAAACTTACCTTAAGCAGAACAGACACCAAGTTCGTTTTCCAAGTTGGTTAAGGTGCGTAGAGCTCTTGATCAGCTTCAACATTATCCTGAACCTAGATTTTCCTCCTCCTTACACCCAAACCCTTCAGAAGCATATATATTGCTAGTTGTCAACATGGCCATCTGCAGATTGCTCCAGTTTTGTTGTGTTTTCTCGTTAGGTTATCTGCTAGCTACTATCGTTCAAATCATCTTCTTCTCTCCGATATCTCCAAACACCCTTTATATACCGCCGGCATCTTCAGTTGCTGCTTTTCCGGCAAACAAAAAATTACAGGTACAAAAAATGAATCAGATTTTTTATTTTTTTTAACAAAACAAGTCTCTTTGGGTAAATAGCTTTGATTTTTATTTTCTTAAATTGTTGTTACAGAGTGTGATTAAACTTGGAGAAGGGTTTTTAGAAAATCCAGAGGATGTATCTGTCGACGAAAACGGTGTGTTGTATACGGCTACTAGAGATGGGTGGGTCAAAAGATTACACAGAAATGGTTCCTGGGAAAACTGGAAGAGAGTTGGTGGTGATACTTTGCTTGGAATCGCAACCGCCAAAGACGGTGGTATATTTGTATGCGATACTGAAAAGGTAATCAGGAAAAGAAGAGAACCCCATTTTTTTTATGAGAATTGTTTTTTAAGTTTTTTTAAAATAGGGGTACGGACATGGATTTGGTAAATAATTGATATCTCTTCGGTTGAATATACTTACTTATTTTTACGGTTTAACTATAAAAATGTCGTTTTTAAGTTTTTATTTTCTTTAATTTTAACTAAAAATAATAAGTTTTTTTTATAAATATATTATAAAATGTATTGAATGAAAGGGCACTGTGTATCATACTATTAGTATCCTATGGATTTGCAATGTTTTTTTTTTTTTTTTTCAGGGACTTTTGAAGGTTACAGATGAAGGGGTTAGTGTTCTTGCGTCGCATGTTGATGGGGCCAAAATAAGGTACTTAATCCTAAGAAGTAAGAAGGCATTAACTGCATTAATTGCATCGGATTACCTGTGCTCTTTAGGTTATTTATTGTCCTTTTTTTATTAATTGTTCTCAAAAAAATAAAAATTTAACGTTAGTTCTGCTCTATCAAAATTATGTTAAAAATAAAGTATTGTTGTAATTTTTTTATTAAATAATAATAAAAACTATAAAAAAATACTTTTTAACTTGCGACAATTACAAAAATTCAAAAAAGTTGCAAATTATTTCTCATCAATTAATTTCTAAATGGAGCCTCAACCTGACTCATTTTCCATAATAATATCACACAATGAGGTTATAATTACTATCACGTAGGTTAAAATTTTGTTGTGAGATACATAATATTATTATTTTTATTTTTATTTATCTATACATGAAAAACAATCATCTTTTCTCTTTTACTTCATCTAACTCACATCTAACTCACATGACATACAACTTAAAATTAAAATCTTTCACTCCTAATAAATAAAAATATATATGATCGAGTTATTTCAGTAGTTGCCCTAATTTTAAGACTTACTACTTGATAAGGCTTAACAAATTTCACTTACATAGGTTTGCGGATGATGTGATTGAAGCATCGGATGGAAACTTATATTTCAGCGTAGCAAGCACCAAATTCGGACTCCATGAATGGTATTTAGACTTGCTTGAGGCAAAGCCTAACGGTCAGCTGCTGAAGTACGATCCCTCAACGAAACAGACATCTGTTGTGCTAGACAATCTCTGCTTTGCCAATGGCGTTGCACTTTCTAAAGATGAGGATTTTCTGGTGGTCTGCGAAACTTGGAAGTAAGTGAATTTATTCCAGAGACCCTGGTGACTAATTCAAATTTGTTCCGGGTTTCCGCTTGTTAATGACTCTTCTCTTCTTCATTCTATGTGAACAGATTTAGGTGCCTGAAGTACTGGCTTAAAGGTGAGAAGGTAGGGGAAACAGAGATTTTCGTCGAGAATCTTCCCGGCGGACCAGATAACATCAACCTTGCTGGAGATGGTTCTTTTTGGATAGCTTTGCTGAAGGTAATTTGAATTCATGTGTGAAGTAATAAAATGGACAGTTAAACTTACGAGCCAAAATACTCAAATTCACCTTTAAAATATAGTAGTAAGGACATATTTACCCTCAAATAATAAATAAAGATAAATTCACTTATAAAATTTTTTATTTAGACAAATCACACATGTGATATTATCTGATGTTAGCAATTCGATAATTTATTATGTCGCTAATAATTGATTGCTGACGTCAGATGACGTTAAATTAATAGATTATTGATGTCAGATGATGTTAAATTAACGTCAAATAACGTCACACGTTAAATTTGAAGTAATTTGTTAAAATCAAAAATTTTGTGAGTGAATTTATTTTCATTTTTTGTTCAAGAGTAAATCTGTCTTTGCCACTTTACTTTGAGGTTAGATTTGGGTATTTTGCCAACTTCTGAAGGTAGCTGAACTTTTTCTGTGGCCCAGATAATTCCTGAACGTTGGGCGTTTGTGCATGGCTCCAAGGCGGCCAAACATGTTGTAGCATCATTTCCCAAGTTGATAGGGTTTGTGAATGGTGTGAAAGAGAATGCCCTGGTGGTTAATGTGGCCCCCGATGGCGGCATTATAAGGTGGTTTGATGATCCGAATGGAGCTGTGATGTCCTTTGTAACGAATGCTCTGGAATTTGAAGATCATCTCTACTTGGCAAGTCTCAACTCCAACTTCGTCGGAAAATTGCCATTGAAATGATCTGCAAGGTTTTGGATGATGATGAAGGCAAGAAGAGACAAAGCTAAATGGTAATCTGTTGTACTTTAAACAGCTTGCACAAGCAGACGCCGTGGTTTAGGATGATTTCAGCCTAAATAATAATGACAATAAGTTTGAGAACAAACAATCAGAATCATTTTGATTGAAATTAAGAAACATGATTCAAGAAATGTCTTGAATTTGAAACTTCAACGGTGAGGACAACATAATTTCAAACTATAATCCTCTCCTTGTTTATCTCAAACCCCATGAAATGCTTAACAAGGAGTCTTAATTACTCATGATCTTGATTTTACATCAATCACGCTCGCTGATGGCTGTCAAATGTTCATCAATTTCCTCAGTTGACAAGACTCGGAAAACGGGGTTATCTGCTCTGACCACGCCAACCTGCCAAAAATCAAAAGATCAGTGTTTGCATCCTTGATATATGAAGAAAACATTTCAGCAATAACAATGAGATAACTACTAAAAAGAAAAGAGTAAACGTATATAAATTCAGCGGTGTCCCGTGCTACTATTACCAGAAAGTGAGAAAAGTCATGGAAAAGGTTAATACCTCTATCTCAGTAGCCTTGAAGTCCTCTTGAAGAACGGATTGCAATGCAGAAATAGCAGTCTACCAAAAAATAGAAATAAGCAACATTAGGACCATCTAACACTAAAAGAGTAATCTACCGAAAAGCATAAATCCATTGGAAACAGTAAGAGTTGCCTTGAAATAATAAGTTTTAAAAAAGAAGGAAAAGTTATGCATGCAATTCAATGTAATATTTCCTGTAATTAAGAAAAACAATACCAATATATATTTTGCAATCTAATATGCCTTCTGTGTGCAGAATAAGAAGACAACATATACATACCTGCACTGTTTCCTCATAAGAGAATGAAGGGTCATTCTTCATTTTCTTTTCCAAGAAATTGATTGCCTCTTGTTCTTTTGATCCAGCACTTGTAGCCTGTATAACAGGTAAGTCAAGATTAATTCTCAAAGAAAAATGTACATTTGGAATAACGATGATTGCCTGGGTTTGAACCCAGGGCTTTATCACAAAGAGACTGGACCATTTGGCTACCAAGGTGATTGGAAATCCTAGTATTAGTTTTATGGTAATAGAGAAGGTATAATCTGTGGTGGTAACAAGAAAAACAGCATAAATAAATTATTTGATATTTTTCCCCCATCTACCTTGGATTCATGAACCCATGACAATTACATTTATCTTAGTTTGATGAACATGAGCACATGGCATGAAAAGGTAAGATCATCTGAGGTTCTCTTTTAAATTTTCTATGCTCACAATGTGAAGAAATAAAGAGCAAAACTGGTTTTTCTTTTTGCTGTCAAGAGGGCAAAAATGGTTTAATTGAAAAGAAATAACCTAGACATGAAGAGTAGCAAATCATACCAGTCATTGGATGTGACCACAGAACAAAGTACCAAGACAAGTATTAACAATGAGTCAGAATGGCAAGATTAAATTAGCCAACTACCTTATGGCCATAGAAGTGGCCAGCTGGATCACACTTGTACAGTTGGGGTCCATTCTCCTCATCAATACCCAAGACCATGGCAACTTCACCGAAAAACAGAGATGCAAAAGAAGAAAGGGCAATTAGTAGGGATATGCATTGGTAGAGTTGAGGGTGCATGTGCCAACATAAAGAGTTCAAGATTTACCTGCAAATATTCAAATCTGAATAATTGAAAAATTAATAATATTTACACAATGATGAAGATTGCAAGCTTACCAACTCCTAGAGGTCTCATATAAGCATGCTGAGTATAGACCTGTGATTTGTCTGCAATCCTACATCAACAAGAAAATATTATTTTGAAGGCAGATAAATGTGGTTTCCTGTTAGAATGAGCATAAAATTTTAAATATCACAGTCAATACAAAATTTAAAATAAGGAAATGGAATGAAGTAATTAATGCATTTTGGTCCATAAGGAAGCAAAGGGCAAACTTTGCAAACTCCAACTATTGGTAGAAGCATATAATTTGGGGCTGAATTTACCAGCTAGCTCCCATCTTAACAGTCTTCTAAATTCACTAAAGTTGTCCCAGCCAGATCAAGATGATCCTTTGAATACACAATTAACTTAATAGCATTAAGTTCAACATACAAAAAATAGGAAACAATACCATTTGGCCAATGCATCCACAGGCATTTCATATCCATATCTGAACCGAAACTCTGCTGACTCATTTCTAGCTTGTTGGACCAAGGTCCTTGCATCAGCTGGAGAATAAGATACAAACCATTAAGAGAATCTCTATAAAATCCCCCCCCCCCCCCCCTTTCATAAGTGCAACAGAATCAAGTTGTAAGGTGGTAATATAAATAGAGGAAAAGATGGAGCAAACTTTGATTCAATATCCAAGGCAAGCTAAATCATCTAAACAAGCAGATCATGGAGTTTTTTTTTATCTTCCATTATCTTCTACTTCGTTGATCTCTTACATAGTTTCTAACTCCCTTCTTCTTGTTCTTTTGTTAATGCTTAACATATCAAAAGAAAATGCCATAAAAACAATAGACACCATATTTTGGGCACATCCTCAAGATGAAGAAAATGATAATAACTGTCTAGCCACTCATTTGAAAAATCATACATATTTGGTGCTAAGTTGTTAAGGACATATATTGTTTTGTGATGTACCTAAGGTTTACAAACGCTAAAATACAAATTGCTGTCTCAATTTTGATTGACTATATAAGTGGAAGAGCAAAGAACCCATTCTTCATATTGCCAATGCTTTTCATCTAGCTTGAGTAAATGTGAGTTATTATAAGCATAAGAGTAGACAAAAAGACAATATAACATCTTCCTTAACACAGCCTATACAACAGCTAAACCATTTAGTCAAATTTAAATATTACCGAAAGAAGAATGCTTAATATCATACAATCCTACAAGCCCATAATTGATGACACATCCAGAACCCCACCCACTATCTAAATAAACAACCACAATTGACAGTTTGACACAATTCAAACTTATTCTTCTCAAAGTAAACAGAAAGGGGTTAAAAAGGCTTAAAGAGAAGAAACCTGTCATGCCGGTGGCCAACAAACCAAGGTACTTGGTAATGGGGAAAAGATGGGTAACACTAGTCTGATCCAGAAGCTTGTCCTGCGGAGTTAAATTAAACAAAAATTAATACCCAAATTGAGCAAAACCCTTCAAATAAATCTCATAAAGAAACAGCTTTCCAAACAATTACGCAATGCCACTGATACAGACCGGAACTTTCTTCTGAGTAACAACACACACAGAGTCCTTTCCACGGACACCAATCGAAGTGATCCCAGCGGCTTTCACAGCCTTAAACGCATACTCTGCTCAATAAATCGAGATGGAGAAAAGGAAATTAAAGAGATTTTTCCTCCAGGAATGAAGGGAAATGCTAGAGAATTGGAGGAGGAAGAGCGAAATACAGACCCACTTGGAAGAGGCGACCCTCTGGCGAGAAGATGGTAATGTGACGATCGTAGCCACCTCCACTTCCTCTGCTCATATTTTCTTCCGGCTTCTGTTACAGTTACAGAGGAGGATTGCAGATATTCCGAATGCTAGGGATTTGAGTTACGATCTAAACTAAAGAAGAAAGCTTTTTCTCCAAGACACAACAAGCTCCGCAGTCAAGCCCTCTTATATTAAACTAGTTTTCTCAGCCGAGTTAACTCGCTGAAGAAGAAAGGTGGGCGAGTTGTCCAAAATACCCTCACTCTTAGCACGACGCCGTTTTTTCTTCTACACGAACTATAAAATAATTAAGGATTTTTTTAAATGTATGTGTTTTAAAATATATATTAAAAATATAATTATTATATTTTAACACTAATTAATATTAAAATAAAAAATATTTTTATTTAATTAAAATAATACAATAATAATAATACTAATTTAATATAAATTTTTATATTTTTAATATTTATTAATATGAAAAAATACAATAATTATATTTTTAAAATAAATATTTAAAAAAACTTAAAAATTAATTATTTTATATATTTAATATTTAAAATTTTTATTAAATCTTTATTAATTTAAAACCAAATCCATGAAATCTTATAAAAAAACCCTTTCCTACTCTCGTTCTTCTATTTATAAACCTTAAATTCAAACTAGTTGAAATTTCTTCTCCTCCACGAATAGTACGTTGGTCCTAACAATTAATTATTAACGAAGCAGCAGGTTCAAATGTCGTGTCTAACTGGATTTGGGTGTAGTGATTCGATGACTCTAAACTTTCTTGAAAGGCATCCCTCAGGGTTAAGGATCGCCCCACCCCCTCATTTGTACCCCGTTCAAAAAAAAAAAAAAAAGTCCTGTCTAACTGTCTATCAGTTGTATAAGGTGGAGCACCACACGTTTCTTGTTTGTGTTTTTGTCTTTCTTGTCTCCGCAGACACGGAACCACTCCTGAAAATCACAAGAAGTCAGGAATTGGAAGTGGGCTGCATTAGAGTTCGCTACCAAAACTCTTGTTTCTGCTATCTGCTGGGAACTCAACTGTTCTCTACTTCCAGCAAATGTTGTTCAGGCACTAAATCTCGGCTTAGATGAGCTTAACGCTCATGCTCAGCAGCACATCAATCCTGGTAAGCAATACCCTTTTTGTCAATGTTGCCTTGAATCAATCTATTGTTTTGCATCCTTTGCTATTTTATAAAACCCCTGTTAAAAAAACTGATTAAGGGCAAAACATTGAAACAGAAATAATTAAAGATTTTTGTCTTTACAAAATTGCTAAATGGGTAAAAAATGTTGATTTCAGAAAGTGATAAGAAATTTTTTTTTTTGGCTTTAATATAACACCTTTCGCCTGTTTTTCTAGGGATGTTTAAGGAAAACCATTGTTTTTGGATGTTGCTACCAAGACCCACAAGGATCAGAAGGAGTTTTAAGCCCAGAAACCACTCTTGTTGTTAATTGCTTCATCACCATCTCTCTGCAAGTTTTAAGATATTTCCAGGTACATGCATAATTTCTACTATTTTCACTCTGTTTGATGCATTAAGAGTAATTAGGATACTTTTAAGTAATTTATTATAATTTTTTTTGAACAGAAAAAAAAAGAAAAAGAAGTAATTTATTATAATTTCTTCACATATAGATTCTTCTCCTCCTGATATCACTTATTTTTGCACCAAACACTCGTCCTGCCCAAGGAGTCCTGCCTGCTTTCTTTAAAAACAATATTCTTCTTTTCTGGGAAAAGAATGAATAATCCCCTCATTTTTATTTCATTTTAGGAATAGGAATTTCCTTTATGGATTCCTTGAAAGATGCAATTCTTGGAAGGGTAGGCGAATATGTAGATTCTCACATAAACTTCCAAAAGGATGTGGATTATCTTAGAGAAAGAGTGGAAGATTTAAAGCGTAGAAGAAAGGATAAAGAAGCAGAGCTAAGAACAGTAGATCTCTTAAAAAAAGGGGTCAAAGAAGAAGTGCATGCATGGCTTAAAAATGCTAGGAGGATCATTGATGAAATGCTACATATTGAAGAGGAGGTGCAGAATGTTCCATACTTGTCGCGTGGTAAACTTGGAAGACGTGTTCGTCAAAAGATTCAAGAGGTGAGGGAAATTTATGATCGAGGCAGTTTCCCTGAAGGTCTTGTAATTGAAAGGCCTCCGCCTATCGGATCCAGTTTGGTAATAGAGAATTTGGAGGGTGAGGTTGATGTGAAGAAAAAAATTTGGAAGTACTTGAGGAGTGATGAGGTTGGAATGATTGGAGTTTGTGGAATTGGTGGAGTTGGCAAAACTACTATCATGAAGCACATTCATAATCAATTATTGAATGAGGTTGCCTTTAACAAAGTGATTTGGGTTACAGTATCGCATCCACTCAATATTATAAAATTACAAGGTGACATTGCTAGAAAAATGAACAGAAGTCTTAATGATGATGAGGATGAATTGGAGCGAGCATCAAGACTGATGGAGATTATGAAAACGGTGAAATATGCATTGATTTTAGATGATGTGTGGGATAAATTTACCCTTCAGAAAGTTGGAATACTAGAACCAACAATGGAAAATGGGTGCAAAATTGTTGTTACTAGTAGATCAGTTGATATATGCAATTACTTGAGATGTCAAATAGTTAAGGTGCCACCTCTTTCAAAACAAGAGTCTTTGAACTTGTTTTTAGATAAGGTGGGGCGAGACATTCTACAAATTTCTGATTTGGAAGAGATTGTAAAGCTTACCGTGGATGAATGTGCTGGTTTGCCACTGGCCATTGTCGTCATTGCTGGGAGCATGAGAGGAGTAAAAGATATTTGTGAGTGGAGAAATGCATTACGTGAATTGCGTCAATGTGTGGTGGATGCAGATTCAGAAGATGAGATATTTAATCGTTTAAAGTTTAGTTATGATCGTTTGCAGAATTCAGACATTCAAAATTGTTTCTTATATTGCTCATTGTATCCAGAAGATTGTGAGATTAGCAAGAAGGATCTGATTGAAGATTGGATTTGTGAAGGACTTATTGAAGAATTAGGGAGCAGACGGGAAAAGCATGATAAAGGACATACTATTATAAATAGACTTGAAAACAATTGTCTGTTGGAGAAAGGTTATAAAAGTAGACATGTTAAGATGCATGATGTTTTGAGGGATATGGCATTGCGTATCAAAAGCACTGGTCCTTGTAGGTATATGGTAAAATCTCAAATGGGAGTAACAAAGATACCACAAGAGAATGAATGGACTGAAGATCTTGAAAAGGTTTCCCTCATTGCAAATAAAATATCATATATTCCTATAAATATGTCTCCAAAATGCCAGATGCTCTCAACCTTGATTTTAAAGGCTAATGAAAGCTTGAGACAAATTCCTGAGTGCCTTTTTGGAAACTTGCTTGGGCTCAAGTCTCTTGATCTTTCTTTCACTGGCATAGAAGCTCTACCCAATTCCATATGTAACCTTGAAAATCTTACCACATTGATCCTTCGTGGATGTAGGCATTTAGAATGCATACCTTCCTTAGCAAAGCTTAAGCTATTAAAGAAGTTGGATTTGTATGGAGCAGGCCTTCTTGTGGCTCCTAAAGGCATTGAAATGTTGGTAAATCTTGAATATCTCGATTTATCTTGTCCAAAGCTAGGGGAGCTACCAGAAGGAATGATCATCAACCTCTTCCGCCTCCAATACCTATGTAAAGGTGGGATTTCAACTGAAGAAACAATAAGAGTAGAAGAAGTAGTAAGGTTGAAGATGCTGGAAAGTTTTGAAGGTAGTTTTTATCAGCTAAAAGACTTCAACAGTTTTGTTAGCAAGTTAAAACATTTGGGAAGACTCAGTCATTACATATTTGTTGTGGGACCACACAATAATGACCATTTCCGGAAATTTGATTATAACAATTGCCTGAAAAAGGTAATTTTACAAGATTGTGAGATAAGAGGAGAAGATGACTTGGTGCTTCCAGATGACCTTGAGGATTTGACTATTGGTTTATGCAGTACTGTCGGTGATGTTTCTATTTTTCTAAAAAATATAACTCAGTTGAGAAGGTATGAGCTGTGGAACTGTAAAGGGATAGAGTGTGTGGTCTCGTCATCATCTTTGGAACCCCTCACAGTTATGAATAACCTTGAATATCTAAAGCTTAGTCACTTGCCTAGCTTTTGTGATTTAGTGAAAGTGTCCAAAACAACAGAATGGCATGCACCAACATCCCCTCACATTTTTTCCAGTCTCAAAGAGTTGCATGTAGTGATGTGTTCAAAAATGAAGAAGTTGTTTCCATGTGAACTGCTGCCGGACTTACAAAACTTGGGGCGTGTTAATGTTCATTCTTGTGTTGAGATGGAAGAAATAATAGCATGGGAAGACGAAAAAGGAAATCAAACAACTACTGCATTCACTCTTCCAAAATTAAGGATACTGATAGTAGACGGATTACCTGAATTGAAGAGAATTTGCCCCAAAAGAGGAGTAATGATCTGTGATTCACTTGAGGTCATTAACATATGGAGCTGTCCAAAGTTAAAAAGGATTCCCCTTAGTCTTGTTGGCAACAGATCTCCTGCTCTCAAAGGAATCTCTATAGAACCAAAAGAATGGTGGGAATCACTGGAGTGGGAGAAACCTGACGAGAAAAATGCCCTCCTGCCTTTCATCAAATTCTAGTTAAGTATGCTAATATGTATATGTATATATATTCATTTATTTTGCATCACTTGCTTTCCGTTCTCTGTTATTTCATAAATAAATATTTAGTCTCTTTTTACAATATTTTTGGTTCATATATAAATGTAATTCTTGGTACCAACCATGTTTGAAGGACTCAAAATGTCAATGTTGATTTGCTTTTTTAGCGAATCTTTGATTATTTGTGTCAAGATGTCTCGGACACTAATTCTTCTTTAATTAATTGCAGTCAGCATTAGTAGGCGCAATGGGCTCGTATCAGTCTGTTCAGCTTTGAAAGTATGGCAGTTCCATCAATTTCTGTCTTCAATTTCAAATGCCCTGGTCAGGTATGTCATGTTTTGAGGAATCAATTATTTTATTTTATTTTTAAGTTTGTCTATTCTGTATTTAAGATTAATAACCTAATGCACCTGGCCGTCACGATCATAAGTCAGCTTGTAAGGTGCATCCCAGCTTGAGGGTTGGGGTTCGATTCCCCCCTCCTTCGTATTTGTAACCCTATTCAATATAAAAAAAAAGATTAATAACCTAATAAATATATTATTTTATAATTAATTTACACAAAAAATATAAAAATTTATTTTTATTTTATGATCATTGTCATGTGACTAATTTTTATTGATCAATTGATTAACTTAAAGTTAATATTTAATTATAAAAAAATACAATAAATACATCTCTTAGAGTACAAATTAAAAAAATCATTTATTTATTTATTTTTTTGCTGACTTTTCTCCATAAACGATGCGTTTTGGTGCAGGCTGCATCTCTTACCCATCTCAAACCTCTTTCCTCAACTCAGCAACATAGCTAAGGAAAATAAAAATTGGATTCATACTTGAATCAAAGTCTTTGTTCTTGCTGTATGGTGCTATAGCTAAACTTTATTTAATGCTTGTTTCTTGTTTCTTGAGCCGATTGCTTCGTTTGAAGCAACGTATCCTTGAGCATAAGTTCTGCAGCTTCTATATATGCTTATTAATGATTGGAAAAGAAAACAGGTGCAACAGACATATTAGCAAGAAGTATTGCTTTCCCCTAAGAAGGAATGCGCACAAGTAATGTTTAACAGTACCAGGAAAACAATAAACAATCAGATTGAAGCTGTTTTTCCCCTAGAAAAGTTTCATACAAGTACTGTTGACATTTAACAGTACCTGTAAAACGGCCTTGCCTCCGATATAACTTGAGTTTCATAGCAGAAGCATCTGCAAGATTTACTGCAGTTGGCCTATTGAGAATAAAATAAAACACAAGCACATAATCAGTAAGAATCAAGGAAATCATACTAGTTACACCCTCAAGAGTCTAGCAGTATCAAATTCCACAGTTTGGAATAACTAGAAACATTAAATTAATCACAAAACCAACAAGTAGTTCGTAAATTGAAGATACAGCAACAACTAGAAGTACCTTGAGACAAGATATTCCAATTTCTTCCCAATGAAAGATACAGCATCATCAGGAATAACACTAAAATCATTCAAGTTAAAAAAAAAAAAAAAAACTTCTACAGCCAGGGAGAGAGCTGCAGCAACAGCAATAGCTGGTGCCCTTGAATCCTACCATGTCCAGAATGGCATTCCTAAGGCAATCAAATGAGATAATTTGGGTACTCTACCTGATCATGACACCATTAGACAATAGGGGAACTGAAAAATGTAAAAGCTAAGTGCTTGAAAAGGCACGATTTATTTTGAGAAAATTATTCCATATGATTCATTCGCAATTTGTTATTACAAAGCCTATCAAACTCGTACCATAATCATTTAAATCCTAGAAACTAATCCTATGATCCTAGAGGGGGAAAGACTACTAACAGATGACCTCAACCGCCAGCCTCTTGATGCTGTTTCCACAGTCGCTGCCTCCAAATTTTTCTTCAGAAACATCGATTGAACAAGTCTCCTTTCCAACACATTCATTTTGAAGGATGGAGAGAGCATCGGTTTTGCTTTCGCAGGTGCCCTTTTGGAAGGCGCCGCAACTCCCTGCTGGTTCTCCAAAGTTGGCGAATTTAACTGCAGAAATAGGGCGGCCTTGGCAGGACAATTCCAGGGTGTTGCCCTCATACGCATTTCCACAAGCAGTTCCTACGCTCACTGTCTTGAAGTTCACCGCCAAAGGATTTCCCCCGAACTCCTCAAACAAAACCAGTGTATTGTCGCCATCGTTAAGGAATGAACGCGGAACATGGTACCTGAAAGTCGTCAAATGATTATTACAAACCCAGAAAGAAAAGATCAAACTTTTAAGAAGACGATGAACTCTACTCTGTTCTTACCATCTTTGTGTAGGCTCCCCGCATTTGGAGGTGCATTTTTTGTCACTATACGCGCCACGGTAATCACAAACTTCTTTGCTACAGGCACTTTGGTCGGCGATGTAGCTGGGCCAATATCGACCGATGCTGTTACCGTTGACCCAAGCTTCACCTTTTCCCAGGCCAAGTAAATCAACCACAACAGGGTCTGTGCCGGCTGGAGCTTTGAAGGTAGTCTTGTACCAGGTCATCATTCTGTTCACCGGCACAGAATCCGATGCCCATTTGGAAACTGAACCTTGAGAGTCTGAGTGGAAGTACATCTTTTCAAATCCATGAAGTCCGGCCTTGTATATCCAGTTGTGAGCAGATAAGTCCTTAATTATTACCTCGTCACCTGAGTATGAGATCAACTCCACCGGACCGAGGATTCCAGCTTCAACAAGATCAAACCAAGGTCCATAGTTCTGTTGAAAACATGGAATAAACTTAGATCTAATAAGAGTACGGTGCAGAATAAATTACACAGCTTAAACCATTAAGGAAGGACGAACTCTCAGAGCTAAAGATGGTCTCCCATCCTTCCATGGTCATGAAAAAAAGTGAAAAAAGGAAACTTTGGTTACCGCGAAACCAACTGTTGCACTGAGTAATGAAATTAAATTATGTCCTGGAGACAATTTAACAGGGGTCTCGAGAGCATCATGTGAAACACCATATTTTGCCCATTGTGAGCCTGAAATTGCAACCAACACAAATCTTATAGTTCATGCTCATAATATCTTGCTAAGAGGGAAAGAATAATAAAGAAAAAAAATGCAATTAATTACCAAGATATTCCCCATTGACATATCCATGAAGAACATGACCTGTGGCATTGACTCGAAGTGTGAGATTCTCACCAGCCAAAATTGGGTCCTTCTCATCAAGATGCAAGCTGTATGAAATCAAATAAATTACAAAAATCAACTAAATTACTATATTAAAAAAAAAATAATGAAATTGAAGTTTGAAATAGACTTACTTGGTCATGTACCAAAGATAGTCACTAACATCATTAGCCTTTTTCTGATCAATAAGGCCATTAGCATGAATATTGCCATCTCCTTTCAGAATAGTGTTGTCAATGATTTCAGGCCTCCATGTCCATTCAAGCGCATAAGTTTCATCACCATCTGCTTTATTCACCATAATTGTGGTTTGAGTATTCACCTATAAATAAGTTTTGACAATTCAGTCTCAATTTTATAGAAAAATACACAAGAACATATAGCTTCAATCTCACTTAACTAATATTACAATTACCTTTGCAGTGTTATAGACTTCAGTGTAGCAGTCAGGAAGGATGCTAACAGACCATGCTGGAATAGTGTATTCAAGCCCCTCTAACCTAACGGTGGCATCCCCACTAGTATTTAAATTGGCCAAGAAGCAGCTTGATTCCGTTTCTGTTGTATAAGTGGTACCGTAAATAGAGTTGCCATAGTCCATGTTTGTTATGTTCCCATGAGTAAGAGTCTTCTCCATTAAATGGAGAACATCATGGAGTTGTTTCAAATGACCATATTTTGGTTGATTCAAATTGCCTGTTAAGAAACTTGAAAGATTAGCCAAATTGTACTGATCAAATGGATTAATTAACAAGAAACAGCAATAAGTAATTACCATATTCATCAAGAGGCGCATTGTAATCATAAGTAGTGGTGATGTATGGTCCCCCGGCTGTTCTTCCAAAGTTAGTTCCACCATGATACTAAAACATGCAATGCAAATGAATCAAATCAGAATTAGTGAAAAATGAATTAATCATATAATAATTAAAAAAATACAGAAGAAAAAACAAATCATAAACCATATAGTAATTTTGGAAGGTGCCACCGGTTTGGAAAAAACGTGCAACAGAGAAGGCCAAGTCTTCAGCAGTCCTGAGCGGGTCCGGACCACCCCAGCTCTTGAACCTAAAATTTTAAAAAGAAAAATCACAAAATTTTTTTATTAAAAGTGATAGGGATATTAATTAGTATACTCTCAGTTTAACATAGTAAAAATATGGAGAACGAAGAAATCAATTTACCAGCCAGTCCAGTTCTCGGTCCACATCTTGGGTTTATTAGGCTTGGGTGTGAAGTTGTCACAGTACCAGCCATTGCAGGTATTGATTATGGGTTCTGGGGCATCAGATTCTTGGCACATGATCCACGGCACACCTATGTTTTGGGATTCTGCCATGTTGGCACACCATTGTATGTAAGCTTTGCCCGGGGCGCCATAGCTGCTAATCACATTTCCGTACTCGTTCTCAATTTGTGCCAGAATAATGTTGCCCCCTTGTGAGGCAAACAGCTTCTCATTTTTCACCATGTCCACAATCAAAGTGGTGAAATTTTGCATCTCGTTCTGCCATTAAAAAATTGTAAAAAGATGATTGGAGTCTTCAAAATTGAAGTAATTAATTGAAAACTAAAACCAATTACACAGAAATACAAGGAATTTTAAACACTATACCATGAAAACATCATTGTTAGTTCGGAGCTCAATTCCTGGCATGTTATGAAGCCAAAGAGGGAATCCTCTGACCAATAAAGAAAATATATTACATTAAAATTGGAATCAAATCACAACAATAAGATGCAGATGATTGCAAAACAAAAATTATTATATGGGAGAAGCCTAATATTAGAGAACCATCCTTATGTAATGATTTAAAATATGTAATCCAACTACACTAGTCAATATTTATAGAGTAAGGGAACAAGATATCTACCCATAGTTCCATTCAGCACAGACATAAGGTCCAATACGAAGAACAGTGTATAGTCCTTCGTTTTGAATGGTTTTGAGGAACTTTATGAAGTCCAGGTTGCCTGAAAAATCATATTGGCGACGTTGAGGTTCATGAGCATTCCAGAACACATACGTCTCTATAGCATCCACTCCGCCTTCTTTCGCCTTCTTTATAAGGCTCGGCCACATCTATATTCAAAATCATGAAATCAACGTCAATTACAAGATGGTACTTTAAATTGATTATACAACACAACGTTAACAGAGAGATAAATCTGGATGATACATATTTTATACATACCTCGGCAGTACTTCTAGCATAGTGAATGGAGCCTGAGATTAGAACCCGACGTTTTCCATCAATGGTGATGGCTCTTTCATCATAGGAAACTTCGATGGCGGAAGCAATAAGGAAGCAAGAGAAGCACAAAACAAGTGTAAATTTTGAGAAAGCCATGATGAGAAAGAGTGAGCGGGAAACAAACTGATGATGGGAAACTGACGGCAAAGAGCTGATATATATACTGTTTGAGGGAAGATATTATCAGCGGTAAGTAAGGGGAATTGTTAATACTGTTTCTGCTATTCAGGTATATCTTAAGTAAAATTTTAGTGAATAGATAATTTAATTTGTATTTCTGTTTAAGGAATCTGTGTATATATCTCCTTTTTTCATTCTGCAGTTAGGATTTTAAGCTTCTGTTAAGATAATACTGAATTTTCCTTAGGGATTACAATGGTCAATTAGGGAAGGTATTCTGCTGGTTGGATTCTCTGATAAATGTTGGAGATAAGATAGGAGGAGGTGGGGAAGTATTTCCATCTTAGGATTTAGTTTCTTTTGGGTTAAGGTTAGTGCATAAAATGACTCCAAATAGGGGACTTTTTTGTGTAATTAATTTTTAGGACTTAAAAAAATTACTGTTTTTAGATTGTGCACGTTCCTATGATTTTTTCCAATTACTTATTTTGATTTTTTTTTTTTTTTGAGCATCGGCAATTAGGGGAGGGAAGAGGAAAGGATGAGATTTAAACCCTACAATTTAAGATGAGATATTCTTTAATAATATTTAAAATGATTATTTAGACCATTTGAACTTTTCAATTACTTACTTGATTTTAAATTGAGAGTATAAAGTTATTGTGATTTTAAACTAAAAGTCATGTTATGATCCATTTTCACAATCAATATTAAGTTTTAACCCCCTTTTTTTTTATGTTAACCAATCATGAAACAATGAAAAAATTGAGACCATTAACATACTTTAAAAATACACAATTTCAATATCTTTAAAACTCAATAGTAATTACATTAACTAAGTGTATTATATATATATCAATAATTGCTGGAAACTTACCAAAAAAAAA